GGCGCAGGGGACGCCGCCCTCCTCAGCCGCATCTCTTTCGCTCCACGGAGCTTGTGGCCCGGAGGGGACGGGGGTGACAAGAGCACCTTTTAGTAAAAAGGTGCTGTTACTGGAGTTCAGTGCCTTCTGTGGGCATAGAGTTGGGCATGCGTGTGGGGTGGACGGGGATTTAGGACGGAGAGGGAGCGGGCAGGCCCACTCTAAGTTAACATGGATGCTGAGTCGCGAGGAGAAGTTGGAGCGGGTTTGGTCTGTACCCAGAGTTGCTGCCCGGTCCCCGCCCTCCACTTCCCTGGTGTGTGAGCGCGCGCTTACAGCCTCTCCCAGCATGTAAAGCCGGGACTATCGAGGCAGTTTGGCCATCCCCACCCCCACCCCCAGCCCCAGCAACTGGTTCTAGAACAGCTGTCACTCTCCTTGCTTTGGTCCCCACCCCTTAAGCAGGCAGGATAGAGATTTGGGGACTTGGGGTTTGCCATGTGGTGAGGGACTCTCCCTGCTCTTGATTCTTAAAGGCCCTGCATTTTCAAAAGGCTCCCCCCCCACCCACCAAGTGCTTAGATCTCCTTTCTAGCTGTTTAAATTTGTGCCTAGGTGAATCCTTATCTTGGCCATGGGCCATCTGTAAAATGGAGTAGGTGGCACTTAGTTATTCTCAAAATTGAAGTGCCAAAGAATGTGAAATGTGTGTCAGCAATGAAAAAATTTTGGTTTGAAACTGATTATTTTAAAAGGTAAAGCCCTCTATATATTTTCACTTTGGGGAAAAAACGTCTAATATTGGTAATCTTTAATACTGAAGAGGAAGGGCGACTCCCTCCCCAGCTGGTCTTGGCAGGGAGACTCAGAGCAGCTTTCTGTGGTTTTCTGGGAAGAGGGTGACCCATCATCTGCAGGTCAGTTGCTTAGTTTAATTAAAGCTCGACGGCAGAAAACCATTCTGAGATATAAATGGGGCCTATGATCGTTGGGGACAACATCTTCTGAGGTGTTTAACATAATAGATAAGAAGATAATGTATAAATAAATAGGAAGGTAAAACTCACCTAACACCAGTACCTACCTATAAACTAACATCTTGGTTTACACTCTCTAAAAGGATTCTAAATGTCTCACTATGTTACTCTGGGTTTTCATCCCACTTCTACTTCCCCTCGCCCCAAGTACTGTACCTGACAAACAATAATCTCTTCTTTGTTCTTGGAAGGTTGGAAGAACCTTAACGGGATGGGTGCAGCGAACTTTCCAGAGCACCCAGGCAGCTACGGCTTCCTCCAGGAATTCCTGTGCAGCTGAGGACAAAGCCACTGATCCTCTGCCCAAGGACTGCCCGGTTTCTTCTTACAACGAATGGGACCCCTTGGAGGAAGTGATAGTGGGCAGAGCAGAAAACGCCTGCGTTCCACCATTCACCGTGGAGGTGAAGGTACAGCAAGGGTGTTCACATGTCTGAAGTGGGGGCACTCACCTTCTGCAGTCTGGCTTCGCTCCCGCACTCCTCTAATTGCTTTCTCTTTACTTACTCCAGAGTCCCAAATCCAGGGTTGATTTTGAGTTCTCTTAACTGGCATCTCTGCAGTACTTGACACTATTCACACAGAATTCTGTGGATTCTGGGAGATTCCTTTCTGGGGACGTTAGTTCTTAAACTGTTCCTCACGTCTTCTTTCCCTGGCTGTAGTGCTGGGGCTGGTCCTCTTCTCTTAGCTGTTCTCACAACTTCAGATCCTACCTCCACTCGGGCCCCGATTTCTCTCCTGAACTCTGTCCAGATCAGCATGTTCCACTCACTCCTTACTGGTTGTTGCCACAGGACCTCAAACATCTTGAATTCAACTGCCGGATACTCTGCTAAGCGGGATGCTTCTTCACTTTTTCCTTTCAGTTTTTGGCGTTCCTATTTGCCCAAGCTGAAACACCAAGGAATCATCTTTGGTTCCTATTTCAGTCACATCCTCCACGTTCATTCTCCAAGATCTAACTAGCCTTTTGTCAAAGTGAACTTTGCCTCCAATCCTCTGCCGGTGCCTTTGGTCAGGTTGTCATCTACTGCCTGGACTATGGCAGGTCACTCCTTACTGGTCTCCCCTCTTCACTCTTCTCTCCCAACGACCTTCCAGCTTCTAGCAGAGTGACTTTTTAAAAACCAAAATTCAATCATGTTACTCATCACTGCTGTATTTTCTACCTCTTTGCTTGGGATGAAGTCCTCGTGGTATTCAAAATCCTTCACAATTTGGCTCTTGTCTGCACTTCCAGGACTCCCCATTTCACTCACTGACTCATCTTAGGGGTGTGTTAGTATGGCAGGTTAGCAGATGTGCATTCCTACTGGATCTCTCTCACCTGTAATATTCCACCCTGGTTTTCAACAGACTTTAAAAGATAACCATATACGCAGCCAAACCAGACTACTCACTAGTCCCCAAACAAGCCTCATGCCGTTTCTCACACCTAAGTCTCTTCCACCCTTCTTCCAGCACCCCTCTTACCATGACTAGCTCCCATGGCACCTGCCACCAAGCCTTACACGATTTCCCTGTAACGAGTAATATCTCTCTTTTTAAAAACTCCTAGTGTTCTTCGTCTGTACTATCCTATGGCCAGGGCCTCCGTGGTTTGGTGTTCAGGTTGTATACTGCATAAGGGTCCCATAGCTGAGGGAGTGCCATCAATATTGTAGACACAGCCTACCCTTCCATTAATCATGTGTTACAAATACATCTTTAATGTACTTAAATTCCTCCTGAATGTTGACATTTGTATTTGTAATGTGGATTGAGGAAATAAGTTCTTTTACATCCTTGTCATCATCATCAGAAATGTTGCCTACATTGTACCAGGGCTCCAGAGCTATGAGCAGAAAATAGCTTAGTATTTGAAGAGATATTATGTCCATATAGAAACGAAGACTAATACTAAGTATCTTATGCCAACCAACTGAGAAGACAGTTGAACTGAAGTTACAGGAGAGCTAAGGAAAAAGCAATGATCAGGTGCAGAATAGTTGGAAAGTCTTCTAGAAGAAAATGATTCTTGAGTTAGACCTTGAAGACAGAGTAAGAAAAGTAACAAACTTCTAATTGTTCTGAAACTTATCTTTGGTTCTGATTTTGAAGAACAGATTAATTTCTGTCATCAACATGTCTTAATATTTTTTATCCTCACCTGAGGACAGTTTCCAATGAATTTTAGAGAGAAGGGAAGGGAGGGAAAGAAAGAGAACCATCAATGTGACAGAGAAATATTGATTGGTTGCCTCCAGCATGTGCCCGGACCTGGGCCAGGGGATTGAACCAGAAACCAAAGCATGTGCCCTGACCAGGAATTGAACCCTTGGCCTTTCCATGTATAGAACGATGCTCCTACCAACAAGGGTCACATGTTTTAAAAGGCATGATCTTTTTAAAATCCTTTCTTGCAAAGATGTCCCATCCCCTAATCATTTTATTTTTATTTTTAAATATATTTTATTGATTTTCTACAGAAAGGAAGGGAGAGGGATAGAGAGTTAGAAACGTTGGTCAGCTGCCTCCTGCACACCCCCTACTGGGGATGTGCCCGCAACCAAGATACATGCCCTTGACTGGAATTGAACCTGAGACCCTTCAGTTCGCAGGCCAACTCTCTATCCACCGAGCCAAACCAGTTAGGGCCCTAATCATTTTAATTAGGTGAAGTTAAATTTCAATTTCAGGCAATAGTTTATCCTTCTTTTTTTTAAAATAACTTTTATTTCTTGAAGTATTACAAAGAGTATTACATATGTCTCCCTTTTCCCCCCTATCCTTCTACTTGTCTTTAAAATTATTGACTTTCATACTATGTGATATTATGTAATCAGAATTCTCAGACATTATTTTTAGTTTTATGTTCCTTGACTTATAACTTTGGACTTTGTAATTTCATGGGATGTGGGAAGTGAACCAGGCTGAAATCAGGAGACTGGGATTGAATTAGGTATTTGATAAAGATTGATAACTAGTCTCAGTTAATCAGTGGTTTTACCTTGTGCAAAATTCCACAAATTTCTGGGCCTCTGTAAAATCAAGGTATTAAGAAGTTTGATATCTACCTAACACAATTAAATATGAAGGTAAAAGGTTACATGTTAAGTACTTTAAAGGACAAAACCATAACTCATTGTAGTTGTATGGATCCAGTTTGCTAATTACATTATGAAAGTACACTGGAGGTATAATAGTTGTAGATATTAGTAGCATTAGCAGAATTGATTTCATTTATTTGTCTGGATATTTCTGCTTTATGCCACATACTAAAAACTAGGTATTGAGGGAGCAGAAAGCAAATCTAAGACATGCATGATCCCTGGGGGCAAGGCCTTACCATCTTCTAGTTGGAGGAAAATGATACCGATGTATTAATCAGTTGTGGGAACAATGAAAGATAAAACAAGGTAGTAAATTATTTATATGCAATTACAGCATAAAATATGTGGGAAGATGTAAGTGCTAGCTAAACTTTATGTTGTCAGAAAACACAATTTTTAAAACCTATATGGCTTTTTAATTCTGCAAAATATAATTAATACTTTCCATCAAATATGTGCTTTTTGTTTTGCTTTTATTTTTTATAAAGCCTTTGATAAAAGACCTTTTATGAAGTATAAAATCTATAAAAGTTAATGTAATATGTTTGTAGCTGGATAAATAAGAAATTTCTATTGAGGTTTCCTAGCCTTCCAAAGACTGTATTTAAAATCGATTTGGCAATCCCTGCTGAAAGATTTTAGGCTCTGAAAAACTATAAAGTTTCTAGGAATACAGCCACATCTCCACAACATTATTAAAAACAGTGTTTTAGTGTGTGTTTTTTTTATCTTGCAGACACTTGGTAAATGATTGATAACTCATTTAGCAGGGTTATAAAGGAAGTGTAAATGGTTTCCAACCATCTCCTGGAAAATACAATGTACCCTGATCATTTGGACTTTATCCAACCTTAGCCAGAGTATGAGCTATACAAGTCACACTTGTTCAAATAATTTGTTTCTCCCGGAGAAGTTTACTTTATATTTGTTTAGGCAAGCTTTGATCTGCACAAATAGTCACATAGGCTACGTTGGAATGTGCCTGGCAAGACAACATGGCTGTGCACCTGCCATGACCCAGTGTTAAATTTTCAAAGGCTTCTTGTGCCCAAGTGGATTATAAGAGATGTGCCTGGCATGAGAAGGAAGAAGTGGTGAATGGATGGAGTACCAGAATGTGTCTGAGAGGAATATAAAGAGTCATTATTATCCTCTCCTTCTGGTTGCTGCCGCAGGACTTCCTAGGCGTAGACAACAGTGGAGTGCTTTTGTTTTGTTTTTTAAAGGAGTGGATTGATCCTAAAAAATACATAGATACATGGAACAGACTGGCGGGTGCCAGGAGGGAGGGGGTAGGGGTAACTGGATAAAGAAGGTGAAAGGATTAGCTAAAAAACATGCTTACACCATGAACAGGGACAATAGTGTGGTGAAGACCAAAGAAGGGGGAAGAGGGAGTAGGTGAAAGTGGGCTATGGCGGCGGGGGGGTGGGGAGGCGCAGGGAATGAGGTGCATCTGCAATAGTGTCAACATTAAAAAATTTTAATGAAGCCCTAACTGGTTTGGCTCAGTGGATAGAGCATCAGCCTGCGGACTGAAGGGTCCCAGGTTCGATTCTGGTCAAGGGCATGTACCTTGGTTGCGGGCATATCCCCAGTGGGGGGGTTGCAGGAGGCAGCTGATCAATGTTTCTAACTTTCTATCCCTCTTCCTCCCTCTCTGTAAAAAATCAATGAAATATACTTAAAAAAATTTTTTAATGAAAAAAGAAGTACTCAAATTTTTAATACTGATAACATTTTTCTGGGGCTAGATATTGAGTCTATTGTGTACCTATAGATCTTCAAAAGTAAAGCAATTAATACTTTAGACAGGGGTTGGTAAACTTTTCTACGTAGGACCAAATAAATATTTCAGCCTTTGCAGACCATAGGTCTCTGTTACGCAAGTACCCACTCTCAGCTCTGCCACTGTAGTGCAAAACAACCACAGACACTGTGTACAGGAATGTGTGTACGTTCCCATAACACGTTATGTACAGAAACAGGCAGGGGGCAGATTTAACCCATGGACTTTAGTTTGCCAATCCCTGTTTTAAAGCTTACTGACATTCTTCATGTTTGCTAAAGACCTGTTAGTTAGATTCCTAACCCTTCTCCAGCAGGTTCTGCTCCAGCCTAACTGATGTGAACCTAGATACTGAACTAAGAGGAGGCAGGTCTGCTTCCATATGTTTGATATTTGTTAGGCTGAGGTAAAGATGGGAGTGTAGCCAAAAATCTGGAAAAGACACCGTCTTTGACATTAAAGAGTTAGACACTTAGACAAACTATATTTCCTTACTCAGTTTTCCCTTCTTGAAAGCACTTACCACTATCTGAAATTGTCTGATCTGTGATGGCAACCTTCTTTACTCACATGATCAGGACTGGTAATTGGTCACTTATTCAATGATATATGGACATTTTTTTAAAATACTGGCTTTATCTTATCTTTGGATCTTCTGATTAGAATTCTGCTTCATCTATTTTGATAGGTTACATTCATATGCATCACCTATATTTCTCAATGTATTTCTTTAAATTAACTGAAAGCTTAGCCACATGCAAAACAATCTCAATGAAGAATCCTCTAGATTTTTATACTTTTGAAAATATTTTACTATTGTATCTACCCTAATTTAACAGAATTTTTAGCAAATTGATTGGGCCTTTTTAAAAGCATTCAATTGTCTCCTATTCAGTTGTCTTTTAAACATCAAGGGGATTTAGACTTCTTCATTCAACAAATATTGAATGTCTTCCCAGAGAAGCACTGTGTCCGTGCTGGGGTCCAACACTGGATGAGATGTGTTCTTAAGTCTCAATTCTGTTATACTATACAAATTATGGTTCACCACCTACAAATCTATCGTTACTCATATTTTTCTTCTGTATTTCACTTTCTTCTGCTTCTAGGCCAACACATATGAAAAGTACTGGCCATTTTACCAGAAGCATGGAGGCCATTATTTTCCCAAAGATCATTTGAAAAAGGCTGTTGCTGAAATTGAAGAAATGTGCAATATTTTAAAAATGGAAGGAGTGACAGTGAGGAGGCCTGACCCCATTGACTGGTCCTTAAAGTATAAAACTCCTGATTTCGAGTCTACGGGTAAGTGATGTTAGATCCCTAAATTGCTAGTGTCTTAATTTTTAATTTCTTTCTTAATGTGTAAGGAGAAAACTCTGATCACTTCTCAGAGGTTCCTTTGTTTTAATAATTCTTCAAAACTGTAAGGATTACTTAGGAACAGTTTGGTTCTTTTTGATATGATTAAGATGTATACATTCAAAATTCATTGTAAATCTGGGATCTCCTTGAAAGAATCCACTTTTCTCAACTCTATGATAATTTTCTTACATAAGAAGAGTGGATTCTATTTAATTTTCCTCAAGAACCAAAGTTAAGAGAGGAACAGAAACACCCCCCCCCCTTTTTTAATTGACACCACTACAAGATTGTTCTTGTGCCCGAGTTCAGTCTAGTTCACAGTTCTAGAAGCTATCCTGTCCCAACTTTTATCTTATCATACTGATATTCCCGGAAGAATTCTGTTTCTGTGTAGCAAGAAAAAAGCTTTCAAAAGGTGGAAACTTGGGGTTCAAGACCATTTTGAACAAGAATCTTACTGCTTCACTTTTTTCTTTGTTTTGGTTTGGCTTCAGGATCCTCACACAGAATTCATGTTAGTGATCAGTCTAGTACAGGGGTGGGCAAACTTTTTGACTCAAGGGCCACAATGGGTTCTTAAACTGGACTGGAGGGCCGGAACAAAAGCATGGATGGAGTGTTTGTGTGAACTAATATAAATTCAAAGTAAACATCGTTACATAAAAGGGTACGGTCTCTTTTTTTTTTTTAGTTTTATTCATTTCAAACGGGCCGGATCCGGCCCGCGGGCCGTAGTTTGCCCACAGCTGATCTAGTATCTATCATTCCATATTTTTTTCTTTTGCACATAATTATATGCATTCACACATACAGATTTTCTGTAAATTTTTTTTTTTACCGAAAAATGGGATCATATTATATAGACTTCTCTGTCTTGGCAATTAGCATTCCTAAGGCTATTGTGGAACTTTCGGTCCGATAGGTTTATATGGTGCGATGCCTCGGGACATCTTGATGGTTGTGGGCAATGAGATTATTGAGGCTCCCATGGCATGGCGAGCTCGATTCTTTGAGTACCGTGCATACCGATCAATTATCAAAGACTACTTCCACCGCGGCGCCAAGTGGACAGCAGCTCCTAAGCCCACAATGGCTGATGAGCTTTATGACCAGGTAAGTCCCACATTACAGGTGTGCTTATTAGTAACTTTTCTAAAGGACCCACAGTGAGAAGGAGATTCTCTGACACCTTGTATTTGTTATGCATTTTATGATGAAAATAAGAGTAAATGATATTGTGATAATAATAGTTGTAATGGCTAATACTTATTTGGTGCTTACTATGTGTCAGGTCTTGAACTAAGGACGTTATTTACATCCTCAGTCCTTTTTATACTTCACAACCACCCCATGAGGAAATAGTATCATTCCATTACAGGGAGCAGCAAAATTTGCCTGAGTCATCGGTGGAGAGAGAAAAGTCACTACACTCCATTCTGTTCTAGAATAAGAATTTGGTCTACAGGCCAAATTCTCATAAAAGGGAGTATATGCCCCTTATTATATAATGTACGATTTGATCATTTATAGAAAGAATAAAAAAAAAAACTTCTTCCAGGCGTTTAAAGACAGAAATAAATAATAAATTCATTCTACCACGCCCAATCAAATTTGGCAGGGAAACATGACATCTCATTTTATGGCAGGAGTTAGGCTCGGGACCAAATTCCTTTTCTAAAAGAACAGAATGACTTCATCCTGTTGACAGTCAATATTGTAGGTAGGTACATAAATCAATTATGGGTCACGGAATATTTTCAGAAACATTACTGCCTCTGTGCCACTTGCTTCTAAGTATCAGGAAAATGCTGTCTTGCCATTTTTTGTTGTTAGTTATTTTTTTATTTTTTTGGTTTGGTTAGCATGTGCCTATATCTTACATGTTTTAGGGTAGTAGTATGTTGGGAAATGATGGTGATAAATGAATTTCCTTAATAAAAAATGTCCTATAAATAGTTTTCTCATGAACCAATGCATTGTGTGTGTTCATTCTTGTTCCAATTAGGATTACCCCATCCATTCTGTAGAAGACAGACACAAGTTGGCTGCTCAGGGAAAATTTGTAACGACTGAATTTGAGCCATGCTTTGATGCTGCTGACTTTATTCGAGCTGGAAGAGATATTTTTGCACAGAGAAGCCAGGTTGATAAAGGATGCCTCTGAAATTCCACACATTTTGTTATTGTATTTTTTCATTTCCAAATTCAAATATTTCCATCCTATTTTTAGTTTCCTGATTTATGTCTTCCTTTTGTTTTCAGGTTACAAACTACCTGGGCATTGAATGGATGCGCAGGCATCTTGCTCCACACTACAAAGTGCATATCATCTCCTTTAAAGATCCTAATCCAATGCATATTGATGCCACCTTCAATATCATTGGACCTGGTCTTGTGCTTTCCAACCCGGACCGACCGTGTCACCAGGTAAGGAAGTTGTTAGGACTCTGGAAAAGTAATAGAGTCTAGCAATGGAAGTCATTGCCACTTTTATTTTAAGCACTTCCATGAATCCTAATGGTTTTAAATGACAAATTCAGCAATATTCAACATTGTTATCATTGAAATTAGATTGTTTGTTATATTTACTACAAGATGTCCAACGCTCAGACATATACAGTGTAGTGTCATCAGACTTTGGCTGTGCTGTGAGAGCCTCAAGCTTGTGCACATATGTATGTTTTTTTTTTAAACAAAGTAGTATTACAGTAGCTCCCTTTCATCCACAGGGATACATTTCAAGACCCCCCTGTGGATGCCCAAAGCCATGGATAGTACTGAACCCTATATATATACTATATTTTCCCTATACATATATGCCTATAGTAGTTTAATTTATATAATAGGCACAGAAAGAAATCAACAATAAAACTAATAATAAAATAGAACAATGATAACAGTATACTGTAACAAAAGTTATGTGAATGTGGTCTCTTTCTCAAAGTACTTGGAATTTTCCATTTAATATTTTCAGACCATAGTTGACCTCAGGTAACTGAAATCCCAGAAAGCAAAGCCATGGGTAAGGGGGGCTACTATACATCACAAGGTTCCAATTGCAGCTGCATTGCAAACAAGATGATCCCTGCATATCTGGGACAGTGCCACTGCCCCCGGGCACTGGGCATCTTCCCTCAATAGGTCACTAAGGATAATTAGGGTTCTTAAGGAGTACAACCCTAACGTTTGTATTTATACCATGGTCATAGATACAAAGTGATGGAATATGAAGTGGACGGACTATGGGATTGACAGTCACATTTTTTGTTTTCTTATAACTAAACAGAAAATATTTTCATTTTCTTTCAAGAGAATTTCTCCAAAAAAGTGTCTTTGGCATTTTAAAATTTCTGAACCCGAGAAAAGCACAAGAATATTTTTAAAAGCTTTAACATTTCTGTTATTTTTAAACTTTAATCTGGTAATCTGGAGATTTTATGTATAATTTAAATTAGGATTCAGGGAAAATCAAAGTCTTGAAAATTTAATTTCTTTATATTGACAATTGAGAAGATAGCTTCTCAAAAATAATTATTAATCACAAAGGCTACTAGAGACCAAGAATGATAAGAATAGTATATATAGATGAAAGCCTCTTTGTTTTTGTTTTTTGGTCTTGCAGATTGATCTTTTCAAGAAAGCAGGATGGACCATAGTTACTCCTCCAATACCAGTCATTCCAGATGGTATGTTTACTTTTATGTACTCACAGACTAAAATGATTACTTCAGTGACCAAGAATCTTTCACCTATAGATAGCAGCCCACATTTTTAGAAATTCAGAGAAAACATTTCCCCAGGAAGGAGTGAACTGGCGCTTAGAACCACGGAGACTAAAACAAAGCTGCACGTGTGTTTACCCTCTCCTTCCACAGAAAGTGAAAGTGAAAAGATGGGGGAAATCAGTATAAAATAACATCTCATAAAGCAAGAAATGACTTCGTAAATAAAACAAAGTGAAATCCACATGTGTAATGAGTATAAATTGATTTATAACATTTATAAATTGCCTTAAGATAAAAATTTTGGAGGGAAAGTGAACTCTGAAAATTGAACTGTCACTTTAATGCTCTTCACTTTCAAATCCTTGATTTAAATAAAAATGATTACAGACACAATTTAAAAGTTGTTGCTATTTTTAGATCACCCACTCTGGATGTCATCCAAATGGCTTTCCATGAATGTCTTAATGCTAGATGAAAAACGTGTTATGGTGGATGCCAATGAAGTCCCAATTCAAAAGATGTTTGAAAAGCTGGGTATGTACAATATATGAAGCATGTTGTCATATATGAAGAACTAAAGAAATGACAAGCTAGGTTTGATGTATGCTTTATCTAATTCCTTTTCTATTCCTTTCCAAGGTACCAAGTTGTTATTTTGTAGATGGACAATATTTTTGTTTTCAACAACATAACCTCAAAAGGTTGGAGATGCATCCCAGGCTCCTCAGTCTCCCCTCTAGCAATAAGTGTACCCATCTTCCATGACTTACCTAACCTCCTGGGGCCCATGTGTGGAGAACTGCCCCTTTGTAGTTGAGCATATACATTATTCAGCCCTTCCCCAAACAAGAAATTGTTGAGGGTACTTTAAAATAATTTAATGTCATTACATATTATAAATGACATAAGGGTACTGACACATAAGTGACTTATATGTATGATAAGTACAGTGAACAAAGTAATGAAATGAAGTAAAGGATGTCAGTAAATCATCTTTGAACTAAAAAGTAAAACTGATTTTTATTTAGGTAGGAGTTTGCTTATCCTAATATTCAAAATATGGACCAGGTATTCTAATACTATGGAGGAAAGTGTTGAAAGAAGGGATTTTCATATAGCTGTTATATAGAGTACAGAAGTATGTGTGTTGATCACTCTTAACATACTTGACACATCTTGAGTGTTAAATAAAGCCAGGTAGTCCACTTGTTGTCATTGAGTCATGTTTTGATTTATTTCAGGTGCACTACCCTGAAAAAATGTTTGACCCTTTTAACACATCTCTCCTTAATGTAATCTATAATAATAAAAGTATAATATGCTAATTAAACCAGGCGTCCTTCTGGACAACCTTCCAGACAAAGCCAGGGCTTCAAGGAAAGCCCAGGTTCTGGGTACCTGCTGGCGGCTGGAGGAAAGCCTGGTCCTGGGTGCCTGCTGGCAGCCGGGGGACGAAGGTCCTACCCTTGCAGGAATTTCATGCATCAGGCCTCTAATATCAGTATAAAAAGAATTGGTCTATCAGAGTCAGACTGAGCCCAATCTAATGATTTAACCCCTAATGCTATGCATCTCCCACCCCGGCTTTCATTAAGTAACCCAATTGCTTGGGTTCAGTTTCTTTATCCATTAAGACTTTAGTATTTCTCAACTTAAAATATTATCAAGTACCAAAGATCTGATTTACAATATATATATATTTTTTGTAATAAAGTCTTTTTAGACACAGGGGACTTGTTAAGCAAACCTTTTCAAGTAATTGAATTTTCTCCAGTTCAGGATTAATATGGATCTAGAAATCTGAGTAAGATAGCTACATCTATCAGGAAACATATGCTTGTATTGAAAGCTCACCCCTTATCCTAAGCCTACTCCTTACCTCTGTCCTACCTACTCTTACTCTTCAAAGCCCTGCTCAGTCTCACTTTCTCAGGTAAGTCTTTCCGATGGCTCCTGCTGCCTTCCCCTGCCTGACCATACCAATGGAACCTTTAGTGACTCTGTGGCTGATTTTCCCCCCTCAAAATAATGGGTTCTTGAGGGAGGAGAACAGATTTTTCTTTTTAAAACCCCATTATGCCAACCACAACAGATTCTTCCTAAATATTACTGGTTGATTTGGCACATCGTGGCCTTGTCAATACAAATAGTGCCAGATTAAACTAATTGATTGTCTCAGTACCTTTGGTTCCGGTATGACCATACAACCAGATATGAAAATATGAGTTCTGTTTCAATGTTTCCTTAAGGTGGCCTGGTATAAAATCAGTCATATCAGATAAACTTTGCTTGTATGTAAGTAAAGTCAACTTTTCAGGTTGGGTAAATTATAGTTTTCCTACTCAGTTGACCTGGTAAAATTAGAAGCAGTCTGGCAAAATAGTTACAGCATAATTCTGAAGGCCGTGAAATGTTAGTGCTTGCTTGTTTTTGAACATTTGCTAGACATGTCTGCTCATCCTGCCTATTGTCTTGTGAATAGTCAGTGGCACAAAATAGAGTTCAGAATCTTTGCTGACTTTTTGGTGACTGTTTTATATAAGCAGTGGAACAGATCAGATAAAATATAAGTGGTGAAAATAAAAGTGAAAGACTCCCCTGGGTTGGGGTAGACTGAAGGATCAGAACTGCAGGCTTCCTGCCCTCTTTCGGCTCACTTCCTATAGGAGAATCTGCATGTGAATCCATCTAACGGCCACGTCTCTCTCGTTCAATGCAGGTATCAGTACCGTTAAGGTTAACATTCGTAGTGCCAATTCCCTGGGAGGAGGCTTCCACTGCTGGACCTGCGATGTCCGGCGCCGAGGCACCCTACAGTCCTACTTTGACTGACCACACTCGATGGGGCTTGTGGCGTAGGGACAAGGTCCATTTTCCTGCTTTAAGAAGTGCATGAACTATAGTGCTTTAAACAATCATATCCTTAACAGGGGTCTTAGGCCTTCATTTTCTTTGTTACAAGGAAAATAACTTATGCTATGTCTTACTTTCTGCTCCTAAGTTTATTTGCTATTTGGCTTCAAGCATATAGTAACTTGGCCACTAATACTTAACCATCTACCTCTGTTTTTAATTTTCTTTCCAAAAGGCAGCTTGAACTGTTAATCCTAATCTTCACTTTTTTTTTTTACTTTTTGTTACACTTGTGAATGATCGTATCACTTCTTTTTTCTTAATGAAAGATTTAGAATATTCACAAATCTTAAGTAGAACCAGATAATTGTCTCTTTTTCTAATGAACTTTGGTAATTTTTATTTGTTAAACATTAATAACCTAGACTATACACACATTTAAGTAAATTTTCCATGAATGTTTTTAATACTCTCATCTCAACAGTGGTGATGTTTGCTACTAAAAACCTTTCCATACAACTTACCTCATTTCAAGTGATTTATTTTCATCTCTTTTTCTTCTCTGATTATAATTTTATAGAAATATTTAGTGCAATAGGATATAACTACCAGTTCCCATCTCTAAATTTTGATATTCAGCATCGAATGGATATTATACACCTTTTGGTAATCTAAGATTTGTTTACAGATGTGCAAATTATTTAAAGTGCAGACTTTAAAGACATTAAAAACTAACAGAGGTAAAACCTACATGTGATATGAAGTAATCATGAAGTATCAAAATATGAAGTATCATATTTTGAATACTGTATGTGTATTTTTATTCTAATAAAGTAATCATGAAGTATCAAGATATGAAGTATCATATTTTGAATACTGTATGTGTATTTTTATTCTAATAAAGTTTTGTGTTACAGAAAATGGATTTTATTAGAGTTTGGTGTCAATCTAATTATTTTGAGTGAATTACAGGATGTAACTCTTGGGACAGAATTCTCATGCTCTGATATAATCAATATAGTCGTCTCTAAGTAGATAAAAATTTAAGCCTAATTCTTGTATTCAGAAATGTTTAGCAGAGTCCAATTTTGTTTATTAATTTACTCATTCAAAAATATCTGAATGTCTTCTGAATATAAGGGAGTCAGCCATCATGTGTCAGTTCCTTCAGCTTTTCTGTTCCAATCCCGTACAAATGTATTTGCATTTGCATTCTCTTGTTAAAGTTATTTTTCTCCTTGCCTTTACTAGCTAAATTTCTAATGCTTACTTCTCAACCCTCTACAAAAAGACACTTTTCTCACTGAGGCAGAAAAAGAGACAAATGTACCAACCAGGTCTACTCCATACAATTTTGATTCTAATCTCTCTTTCAGCTATATCAATTATCATATTTTCTACAACTCCAGTGTGTGTGCGTGCGTGTGCGTGTGTGCGTGTGCGTGCATGTGTGTGTGCATGTGTGTGTGCATGCGCGCGCATGTGTGCATGTGTGTGTGTGCATGTGTATGTGCGTGTGTGTGTGTGTGCGTGTGTGTGTGTGTGTGTGTGTTTTCCCTCATCAAATAATCAAGCTCAAAATAATATTCAAACAAAAACTATGGCAACTTCATCTTCCTTTAGAGCTAAGCTTCCAGAATACATCCACTCTCTCCACTATTTCACCTTTTATTTATTCCTCAGTCTCCTGCTATCTGATTTCTACCTTAGCACTGCAAAGTACTGATGATATCTTTGACCTGACCTCTCAAGTGTCAATTCCAGTGGATACTATTAATACCACTCTCTTCCATCTCCTTTGTTTTGTCGTTAATCCTTGCCCAAGGATATGTTCCCATTGATTTTTAGAGAAAGAGGAAGGAAAAGACAGAGTGAGAAAGAGGAAGAGAAACAGAAACATCTATGTGAGAGAGAAACCTTGACTCCTTGCCTCCCACACGTGCCCCGACAGGGATCAAACCCACAATCTGGGCATGTGCCCTGACTGGGAATCGAACCTGAAACCTGAAACCGTGTACAGGACGATGCTCCAACCAATTAAGCCACCTGGCCAGGGCTCTCCCATCTCTTTTTATTGATATTCAAGTTCCTTCTCTAAATTATTTTCCTCCTCCTCTTAAGAGGTGGATGTCCTTGGACCTTCTCTCTTCTCTTAAGATCCTGGGTGGTCTCATCTGTACATAGGTCTTCCCCATACACATATCTACTAATAACTCCCACGGGCCATGTGGGAGGAGGCCCTCTGCCTACCAGGGGTGGGCAAACTTTTTGACTCGAGGTCCACAATGGGTTCTTAAACTGGACCGGAGGGCCGGAACAAAAGCATGGATGGAGTGTTTGTGTGAACTAATATAAATTCAAAGTAAACATCATTACATAAAAGGGTACGGTCTTTTTTTTTTTTTTAGTTTTATTCATTTCAAACGGGCCGGATCCAGCCCGTGGGCCGTAGTTTGCCCACGGCTGGCCTAGACTTATAGTCTTGCCCTATCCTTGTTCCCAACTGTCTGTCTGTGACTGGGCAGGGACTGGCCAAGAGCAGGTCTGCCTCAGGCCAGCCTGTAGGGTCATTGACTTTGTGTAGGAAAGATTTCGCAACATGAGTCCAGATGGCTCTGAGAGTATGCGTATTAATGCTGGGACAGTGAAACAAAGGAAGAAACTAGAGTAGAAGAAACAACAGTGGAGAGAGAGCCTAGGCGGTGGTCTGTTTTGGCTCTGGAAATGTTATAGGAAAGCAGTGAGCCAAGGCAGGGCTGCTGTTAGCTCACTGGGAGGTCAGAGAAAAGGGGGCCTTGGAGACAGGATCAGAGGGTGAGCCCTGGTAGAGCTGCCACTGCCCACCGCTCCCCTGGCTGCAAGTCCTGTGGGGACCATTAGAATGTAAGAAGAATAAAAAGTTCATGCTCGGGAAAGGGCATAGGCATACTCCAGTGAGCCCACTTTGAGTCTTTGTCTTGAGGGCTTTTTATTCTTTTCTTTCTTTCTTTCTGTAGGCAAAAAATCTTAGGGGATGGTTTCAGTAGGATATTTATCAGCTTCCCCAGTGCATTTTTAATACGCCGATGTATTAAAATGAGTGTACAGGGGAGTTTTGGATTATTCTTTGGGCTTTTACTTTTACTGTAGATCTGTCTGGCTTTAATGAGGTTTTTGTTATTTCTTCCCCAACCTCATCTGTCCTTGGGTTTAGCTGGCCCTGTTGGATCATTGTTCTCTATTTTCCCAGGCCAGGGTGATGTAAACTATGTATTTTCTGGTTAGGGAGGGAGGTATAAAACATTTGCTCCCAAGTGCCCTTGGTTAGGGAAGATAAGGTCTTGCAGTTCATACGCTGGCTACCAGCTGCTCAAACTGTTTGGCCTTGTTTAAGTTTCTTGTCTCAGTTTCCCTTTTCCACTTGCCCTGGAATTTTCCTAGTTGCTTTTTGTCCTGCTACATGTAGACATTATCTGGATGTGCAAAGGCATAGCAGGCTCAACACAGTATCACAATTGACTCTCTACCAAGACATCCTGGACTCTTCCCTCTTCCTCATCTCGTCTTGACCCTTCCATTGGCCTTTTGCATTGTTATTAAACAAGATTAATATTTTCAACAAAGAGAGCTCAACTGAGTGACTTAGTAAATTCCCTATTTTTAGATCTTGTGACACTGCTCTTGCATATGCTCTTTTGTCAAAGTTGTGGAGGAAAACAGAAGCAGCCCAGTCTCCACTACAGCTGCTATCAGCTTTCTAGCTGTCATCTACCACTTCTGCAACCCAGTGGCTTCTCTGTGATCTGCAGGAGGCCCACCATCTGTTCTCAGATGTCCAGATAACATGCCCACAACTTCAGGCTAGCATTCTTCCCAGGGAACACCAAGCCTCTTTGTAACTCCCTGTCTAGAGGAAATAGTTATGCATATTCAGATGGACCACTGTCATAAAAAGAGTAAACTTTTTAAATAAAAATATCTAATATTGACATTGTAGAGCAAGCCTCGTTCCTAGTAAAAAGTAAAGTATTCCTTTCAGGAATAGCCTTTAAAAAATAAAGATCATGGATCTGACCACAACAGTGTGTTAACTTGTAACTACATACGAATACTACCCAATAGTTAGGAGAATGCAAAAAGAAACCATCTAATTTTTTTTGGTCAACTCTTTGGGTGCATACATTCTTTTCAGAAATTAGAGTAATGTAAAAAAAAATACTCAGATTCCCATCACTTAGCTCACTAACCTAGTTTATTGCAGGAAAAGGACACAATACACCAACAATGTTAGAAGATACACATCACAGCCAAAGGCTGCCTCACAGCAAAGTCCCAACAGTCAACCGAAGCTCCATTTTGTTACCCTTTCAGCTCATCCAATTGGCCCAAATGTTATAGTCTGTGCAAGGCCCAGGATTTTTTGGAATTAATCAATCATCCTCAATCAGTCAGTTATATGATTTATGGTCATAGTAAGGTCACTTTAAGCTTGACTCAGTTTCTGAGATAATCAGTATAGTCTATCAGAACACTGTTCAGTTGTACTAGATCTAGGTCCCACCTGACCAGATTGTGACATGGGAGAGTATAATAATCTTTGAGGTGATACAGTAAATAAGTATTATAGACTATCACACATGAATGCAAATTGTTGTTACCTCTCCCTGATGACTGATAGTAAGAACAACACATTTTCAGTGGGATTTTGTGGGGTGAACTGGCTCGCTTCTCATTATTTGTCTTTGTAGGTAGCGGGTCTCTGCTTCCTATACTTTGAAAAATCGAGATCAGACATCACTCCTCCTGCTTGTCTTCCAAAAATTTCTAGACAGCTTTTATTTTCTCTTTTCACTTAGTCTTGTAGGTTTTTACCGTGTTATTCTGCTACTATCCCTTTAGGGCAGTTTCAGGGGAACATGAAGATAAATGTTTATGTTTAATCCACTTCAGTCTCTAGTAGTGTGGAAGTCTTTAGACAGTTAATTCTAAATAGCATGGTAAAGGAGGAAATTGAGAGAGTGCACCAAAAATCACTATGGGATTTTAGAGGAAGCTGGGGAACGCACATGTTTCTCTATTCAAACTCTCAGGATGTAAAAATCCTGAAGTAGATATAGAAATACCAAAGCTGGGAGCAGACCTGGGAGCACACAATTTAGGGGAACCCAAATTCTCAGTAATCCAGATAAATAAAACTTTAATGCAGTTAAACCTAATGAAAAAAAATCCATGATGAACAAAATATCAAACTTTAAAATAAAGACAGGATCAGTAGTACTGATGTTCCTTTTGCCTCAAACCCCAGTGGGCTGTGCGTACCCGAGCTGCACACCAGGAATCAAGGTGAAGTGAAAGTAACCAGCCCTTGTACTGTCTGCAGCCCAGATTCAAATCATCTGGCTTGTACAGAAAAATCTCTGGCCTGGAATTGG